CCAAGACCCTCATAATTGAAACCATTGTCAGATGAGTGCAACGGTCATTTGGGACACTGGCCTCTTCACTGCAACAAGCAAGGACAATGCAACCTATGCCCAAAGGGTGTAGAAAGATGGAAATGTCAGAGATGCAGTATTTTGTACCATAATGTTTTAAATGGAATATTTAAAAGTATTTTTCTTTAATTTTGGCACCATTTTTGCCAATTGTTTTATTTAAAATCAAATCCACAAAAACTACTGTTTTAATAAATCCACCAGAGACATAGATCTTGTGCCTCAAAGTGAAAGAAAAAAAAACCTGAGGTTTATGGGATCTAGGAATATGGAATATAACTGTTTCCTATGTCTTGGACTACTTCTTTAGAATATTACAAAAAAAAATATGTGTTTTTCGATAAACCACTCAATTAGAACTGAGCCTAGAACTTCCAGTTTTAGTCCATGAGGCAGCACCCTGTCTATGTTTGAAACTAGGCTTTAAACTTTCCTTTTTTCTAAAGCTTTTAGAGGGTCTCAGGTTATCCTGAGCCATCTATAATTATGCTGCTAGACAGGGGCGTAGCCAGAAATTTTTTATAAGGGTGGCCAGGCAATAACCACTGTACACTGAGGGGTGGCATCTGAACCGGGTCGAAAGCGGGTAGGCACCAGAACCTCAGGGTCAATCTACACTGTTCCTACAGGAAAATAAATGAGAAAAACATCCATGTTTTTCGAAATAAAGACAAACTATACTTTCCTATAGCCTTTGCTAACAGATAGACGCATATATTTAAACATCTGTAATTTCTAGATAGCAGGCATAGTTTTGAGTTCTGGGGCATAATTCTCTTCCATTGTCATTAGTCACCTACTTTTATCATAAATATTCTGTGTACAATTGATATTTACAAGCACTAATATATACATAAATTGATTATTTGATAAGTTTTTATCAAAATTGTTATTTTATCTTTGATTTCACTGAAGACTTAAATGGCTTGCAGAGACACATAATTTTCTCTTTACCCAATATAACACAGAATCTAGTTCTGAAAAGAGCGTCAATTCTGTACTTATCATCTTTAATGTTAGTATATTTATGTGTATAATTGACCACAAAAAAAAAAATTAAAACATTTTAATATACCAATTGAGAGTATTACTGCTGCCACCATCTGTATTAGACGGGGAAAAATGGTAGAAGTGGCCACAAGGGTGGCCAATGATTGGCTAGGGGTGGCCATGGCCACCCCTGGCTCCCCATCTAGCTCCGCCCCTGCTGGTAGAGGACACAGTTTACATAATTATTCTACTTCATTCTATCTCTATTCTCCCACTCTGCAGTATTTGTTAGTAAAACTAACTCTAACTTTATGCTCCCTCTGCTTTTTCTCATCATAGTTTCTTCATCTGGTCTGTTCCAGTTTGGCTGTGACTCCATCCTGGAGAGAAATACCAGCTGCTGCCATCAGCGCCTTCAATTATAGATGACATTGTTGGGCCTGTGGGGTTTTTTTGTTTTTTTGTCTGTAGTCCTGTTTCTCTCCTAGATATAGCTGTTGATTCAGCTTTTTACTGTGACTAATTATCATCCCTTTGATATTAAAACCGACTCCTGAACTCCCAGTCGACCTTGGCAAAAGGCCACTCACACCGAGCCTGGTTCTGCTGGAGGTGTCTTTACATTTAAAGCTGTAATGTGGACTGATTACAGGGATTGGCTGATTTTGTTATTCATTATAATCTACAAAGAAAACCTGTCAACCTTTATGTTTGCATTACCATTGCCTAGGAAATTTCTATATATAATTACGTAGGAGCAGGTCTCAAATTTACAGGGCAGACATCTTTGTTCTAAGGCTGTGCAGAGCTGAGAAAACAGACTACTGACTAGGGATCGCCATGAGGCTGAAATGTGTCTTTGGTGAGTATAGAGAGTTGAACTGAGACAGTAGTGAACAATAGATGGCAGCAACAAGCAGAGGAATGCTGTTACTCTCCTTTATTCAGCAAAGTCCCTTATGAATCACATGCAATGAGGACTGACGGTACTCTGAGGTTACTCCTGGAACTCAAAACAGTAACTTTACATGTAGTCCTCAGACCTGTAAATAAAACATGTAGAGTTAAGATTTTTTTCATACAACACAGGCCATGTAGGTTTATACAAAATTATTTTCTGGCAACATAATTTGGTTACATTTGGCTACACAATATTTGCCCTCAATTAAATATAGATCCTACAGAAAAATACTATTTATAAAATCATCCACATAAATAAACCTCATCATCACATGACAAGACAGGTGATGCAAACATTGCTGAAGCCATTTTGTACCATGAAGGCCTCTGTATTGTGACTTAGACTTTGATAGATTTTATTTTTTAATTTTGTACACACAAGTATACACTGCAAAAACGATCTAGAAATAAATAAAGATTTCTTAAATTAAGTGTATTTCCTCTCAATCTGAACAGGTAAATAAGATTATTTGCCAATATAATAAGATAATTAGATAATATTCACTTGAAATAAGACAATGTAATTGTTTTATTTATTATTTTAAATGTAAATTTACTTGTTCTACAGGGTAAAGTGTCTCACCACCTAACTTCAAGAAAAAAATCACTTATTTTAAGTAAAAAATGACGTATTTAGATTTAGATTTTTTGCAGTGTATATACAAAAAGAAATTTTGTTTAGTACAGCTCTCTAAACTTTTCCATTTTTTATAGTGCAGCCTTGATAAAGGTAAGCAACAGTGATAAAAACACTGTGATGAAAACAAAAAGTGATTTAAACATACTAGTGTATAGCTACAGTTCCAACATTCAGGTTTTTTTTTTTTACCGATTTCATATAACATTCAGCAGTCTAATGGCGGTGGGGAAGAAACTGTTCTGGAACCTCCTGGACCTGCATTTGAAGCCTCTTCCCAGAGGGCAGCAGGAAGAACAGTCCATGGTGGGGGGTTGAGGGCTCATTGATGATGTCACGGGCTCGGGACACATAACGCTGGGATGAAATGTCTTTTATGGAGGGAAGAGGAGCCCCATGATCCTCTCTGCTGTTCTCACCTTCTTCCAGTCTGAGACGCTGCAGCCTCCACCCCACACAGTGAGACAGCTGGTCAACGCTCTCTATGGTGCTTCTGGAGAAGGTGGGAGGATGGGTGGGGGCAGGTGGGCTCTCCTCATCCTCTGGAGGAAGTACATGCGCTTTTGTGCCCTTTTGACCAGTGAGGTGGTGTTTCCAGTCCAGGTGAGGGTGTCTGTGATGTGCACCCCGAGGAATTTGGTGCTGCTGACCACCTCTACAGCGGAGATGTTGATGACCAGTGGGAGTGGCGCCCTAGTGGATAGGAAATCTGAGGTTGTAAGTTTGAAACCCACTTCCAAAGACTGCCACTCTGGCTCTCTGAGCAAGATCCTTAACCCCCAGGTGCTGCACAGTGGCAGCACTTTGCTCCCCAAAGGGGATGGGTTAAATGCAGAGTTAATTTCTCCACTCTGAAACCAATAAAGTTCAATTTATGATTTTATGTATTGCTGGAGGGGGAGAAATGATGAGGGAGCAGTTCTGTCTGTACAGTCTGACCTTTAGATGTTGCTAAAAAAAATCCCATACTGTAGCTTTTAAGGGAGTTCTGCAATCTCTGAGAGTGTGAGGGATTGCTAAGAGTCAACAAAACAATGCAAGCATATGTTTAGTGTTACCACATGCTTTTCCAGAAGGAGCAAATCCTGCAGCCAATGACTCATTGCAATCAGCTGGTTTTCCTTAGAAACCCTTTAAACAATCTGACTGTATAATCTAACTGAATTGTCTGTCTCAGCCTTGAGATAACATGTTTAGTGCTATATACATAAACTGATTTAAATTGATGGAAAAGCATAGATTAAAACTCCCTTCGGTGTTTATCTCTGATGGTGGCACAGTGGTGTGATGAATGTTATTGAACCACCTTTGGATGCCTTGCTAATATTTAATGATAATCTGGGACCCTTACACTGTGATAGCCCAACACGTCACAGAGACAAGGGATTGCTTAAGAAAATGTGGCCCAGTCTGCATAGCAGTTTAAACCTCTCCACTAGAAATACCAGTTCTGGAGCTTATAACTGCCACTTAGGCTGCGATTAGGAAACAGCAGAGTTGATGACAGACATCCCTAAGGGCGGGCTGGCACTTCAGGAAGAGAAGGTTGATTTGTTTCACCTTGATCGCAGAACGAATGTTTCTTTAAACAAATCCAGCTATTATAGTTGAGCTTCCTTATTGTTCCTAATTTAAGGATCCCTGCAACTAATAGGACACTTCCAAACTATGCTGAGAACAGATAAACTTCTAGATATAAGGTGAAGAGAATTACACTTGCCTCCAGTTAAGACTTAAATCAAGCATCTTACTGACAATCCTAGAGAAATGCTCCAAACTTAGCAAGGAAAACATTGTGAAAATGAAGCGTTTAGCACCTCAGAAAAAAAATAATCAACTATAGCCAATGTGTTAGTGAAGCTGCACAAATGCATATGGTAGCTACTTTTGAAGAAGCTGCACAATAAAACCTTTAACATTGCATCACTTATTCCTTCATATACCTGGAAATGCCTGTAATATTTTTAAGTCAACATTGGTTTATTTGGCTTTCTGGTTTTCTTTGAGGCCTTTCTTTGCGCCAGAAGGTCGGTCAGCTTCCCACAATGATTGTTATTTAGTCAGGCAGCTAGCAAGGCAACTAGGAGATGAACAGGAAAAGAAACAATGCTGTGTCCAAATATGGAAAAGTTAAAAAACAAAAACAAACAAAAAAAATGCTCCTTTGATGCCCCCACCCCCCGGCTCTCTCTCAACAATCTAGAAGCTGGGGAAAGTTATTATTCCACTAAAAATTAAAAAAAAATAAAAATCTCACTGTGGCAATTATTAGGATAGGAAACCATCATAAATGCATTAATTTTAAGATTTCAGCTTTCAGTTCTTAACCCCCAGTGAAGGAAAAAAAAAGACCTTTTGTTGACCACCTTTATTTACCGACAGAGGCCTAATAGCAGGGCTAGAATTCACACATTTTTAGAGCAATTCAGTTGTCCCACACTATGACAACTGTATTTCTTTCAGAGCAATTATGCAATGGTGCCATCATGGAAGCTACAGAGCAAGTCAACAGCAGAGGAAAACATCAGCACAGACTGAAACAAATCAAGGCCGAGCAGAGTTTATATCTGTAGAAGGATGCTGAGTGGAGTGTGTAAACGAAAGAGGGTCAGAGCAGTCTCATCTCAGCTGTCTGTGTTGGGGAGTTAAGACACCTCCTCGTCTCACAATCAAGAGGAAGGCAGCAACTGACTTGCACATGGCTGATGACCTAATAGGAGAATCGGAGGCAGAAATTTCTGACTATTATCCTTCTGATACAACAAAATACAAATGCTTCATAGCCTTTTAAACTTAAGATTAAAATTTAGAGGTATTCCAAATGTCTTCTGCAAAAATGACCTGCTTTTAAGAACATTTCAGTAAAAAACAAAATGAAACTTTAGATCGACTGCCTTTCTGTTTCTATTGAAGGCAGCATCTCTTCGAATACCAGTGTTTTTCATGTGCACCATGTGAAAGTCTTTGACTCTATGAAAATAGTTGAGATTTACAGGCTGAAGATCATAGAACAGACCTCCTCTATAAAATATAAAACAATATCTCAGTGCTAAAGGAAGGAAATAACCCATAAATCTCAATGAAGTTGTAAATTCATCAGATAAACCTGTTGAGGCGGAGCTGGTGGAGCTCCACGGCGCCCAATCTTAAAGCGAACAAGCAACAGCACTCACCACGCCAAAAGATATCGGTATGCTTACATTTTCAAATGCATATTTTCAAGCAGCAATTACAAAACTTTATTAATGGACAATGCATAACCTCTGAAAAAAATACTGTATGAAAACATCCCTGCTACTTTGTTACAAAGTACAAAACCTCTACCAATAAGTTGCTCCAGAGTAGCAAGAAGTCCTTTTGTTTTTATGTTTTTTTTGTTATTTTTTTTTTTTTCATCTTTGTTTTGTTTTTATTGAATAAAACTCAGTCCTCACAGAGTGTCATCCTTATGACAGTCTTCGCCATCATTTGACTTTGCTGAAGGATCCAGGAACATGCAAGCCTCGTAGTGGAGGTGCTCAAGAGGCTCCTGAAGGCCTGAGGGTTAACAGCCAGAGCTTAAGCCAGGGCTGGGAAGGCCTCTGGGTCGTCCACGTTCGGCACAGACGTAGATGACTGCAAAGTGAGAGGGGAAGAAAAAACTAATTTAGAACGGAAATCACCCAAATGGGCCGAAGGTGGTGTTTCGCCGCAGCACACATACCCTTTCGGGTCTTCCACCACCCCGAGTTGGCCTAGGGGTCTCCCCGCGGCCGCGGCCTCCCCGGCCGCCACGCGGTCCTCCACGCCCGCGCCCGGGACGGCCGAGATCTCCGAAGTTTATCTCCAGCTGGGACGTAATGTCGTTGGCTGGCTTCCGGAAGTGGTGCTCATCATCAAGCTAGAGTTGAAAAATAAAGAGGTTTTACCAATCAGAAGAATGTTTCCCGCCCCCAACAACCAACATGTTTAAATCATCGACTTCTGTTTAACGTTTTACCTTGGAATCATCAATGTCAAGATCAGTCAGATCGCCTTTCTTGTCCTGTGTGAGGAAAGTTTAAAATCATTAACACCTAATGATGTGCAGTCAAGAGATAAAACTGTCAGAGTTAGATCTATTGCATTTCTCAACAGTTAGATGGCAGTAATGCCCCTCCGGAAACAGAAGAAGAACAACAACTTCTTCTTCAACTATAAACATCAAAATCTTCTCCACGCAACATTTTAAATAATGGCATTTTAAATAATAACACCGAAGTACAGCAATAATATTCAAGCATAACTTTCGGAATGTGATGGGCGCCGCCATTTTGATTTGCTTGATTTCCTTCTTCGTCTTCTTCTTCTTGTGTTTTATGGCGGTTGGAAAACAACTTTTGGTGCATTACCGCCACCAACTGCTTGATTTCCTCCTTTAATACTGGCAGTAATACCGCAGATTGTCACTAGGAGGCGAGGAGTTGAGATAGCGTGATGTGTAAACGGTCTTCAGAACCGAGCTCGGCCTGGTTAACTGATCTGAGCTCGGACCGGTCTCGGCATGGATCGGTTTTTCAAGAGTAGTGTAAATGGGGTATTTGTTGTGGTAGCAAGATACTTAATACTATTCTGGGATTTGACCCAAAAGTTATACTGTGAAAATAGGATTTATTTAGAAAGCAGACAGTGAGGTGAGCTATAACACTAAAACCAAACGGTTGACCTACTTCAGCCTTGGACTTGTGAAGCACAAATCCTTTGTTCCAATCGGCTCCCTCGTTGGCCTTGCGGATGTTGAATTCTACCTTGGCCCGCTCTTTGTCCTGCATGGCCTTCCATTCATCCAGAGTCATCTCCTTAGGACCTTCTTCCTTCAGTTCTTCAACCTCATTCTCCCTTCAACACACACAAACGCAGGGCATCCACATTACAAACTCCTGTTTCTGCTGTTTAGATATTTAACAAAACCATCTGAGGTTAAACACTGAATCATTTTAAAGGCAGGATAGAAAGGTTGGGGGTGTTCAGGTACTAACTTGTTCTCAGAGTCAGCAGGTGGATGTTCCTCTCCCTCCGGGTTCTCCTCAGTGACGTTGGACTGATCAAGCTCACTAAAGATTATAAAAGAAAAATCAATGAAATCCTTCATATCTGAAGTCTAACATAGAATTACTTAAAGGACAACTTTAAAAGTATTCAATTTGTTACACAAGAACTCACTTTAGTTCATCTTTAACTGTGCCCCAGTTGTGAGATCCACTTCCGCCACGCTTGTCCTCACCTTTCAGACTACTGGAGAGGGAAAGAAAAGCCCCCCCAAAACATCAATCATGATCAAACGAGCTGCATCACAAGATGGCCGAAAACAAAAACACTCATTAAAAATAAAAAATGATACATCTTTGTTTCATCGCACAGAAGAACACAAAGTAAAACTTACGATCGGTCACTGCCACTGTGTCTGTCAAATTCCCGTTTTCCTCTGGAGTCGAATCCGTCGCCGCGACCCACGCCGCGCCCTCTGCCGCCACGGCCTCCCCTGCCGCCACCACGTCCTCTCATTGGCCTATCACCAACAGGCCTGAGGGAAAAGAGCCCAGTAGAACAATGATGAAGGATGATATTGGCGTAATTTTTATCGAGTTTTACTTTTCCTTTTCTACTAGGGTGCAAAAAAAAAAACAACAGATCATTTAAAATTCTATCAGCTACAGATTTAAACTCTTAATATTTATTCTTGTCCTTCTTTATTCGTCTCTAGATACATACCAGAACTTCAAATAAAATATCTGACAATTCATCTGCTTTATAATAGACAATATAAATGTTAAGCCCTTTTTTTATTGTCTTTAACACTTTTCGGCAAAAATAGCTACATGCAATCACAGGATTTTCTTTTATTTTACTAACAATATTAATATAAGTGAGATCCAACAGACAGTAATTTTGGTTAAAAAAAATTAAAGGGTAGAGAAACCCGTGTTTTTAATCCAACAGAGAATAAAGTAACTATCAAGATGGCCCCCATTTATATAAAGTCTCTAACCTTCACCTGAATTGTATTAAGCTTGGAAAACACCAAGGTATATCCTGGTGGCTCTTGCATTTATAGACCAGAAATGGTGAGAGTTTGTAGTTTTGATTAATTTATAGGAGGAGAAATAAAGTCAGATCAATTTAGAATTTGATCTGATAAATCTAAGCTAACTTAAATTTCCACCTTTGGCCCACCGATTGGTCCACTTCTGCTCTCAAATTAAGGTCACATGGGTTTTATAACTATCTACTTCAATTTTCTGACATTTGTGAGTACCAATGGATTTTTAAAATGCTCCTTAAAACAGAATATATTTTACCTTAATACAAGTTTCACATAATTACTTTCTAACACAGACTGGGAATCAGAAAATCCTGTTTTCCCCTCTTGTCACATGTGTCTTCTGGCAAGTCCAAACTCACTTCTCCACTGAGAATTCGCCGCCCTCAGGTTTCTCTGGAGCATCACCGGGAGGCCTCTCAAAGCGACGAGGCGGCCGTCTGTCAACGGGGCGTCTGTCTGCAGGGGGTCGCCCTTCTCCTTGGCCGCCCTGAGGTCTGGATCCTTCGCCCTCCGGTTTCCTGCCCATTCTCCTCATGCCAGCACCTAGGAGGAACCCCATGAGGGTGATTAGATGACCAGCAGGACTGCTAGATCTGCACCCACCTTCCAAGTCAAAGATACATTGTTCTGCTTAAGTGGAGCAAAAAATCCCAATTAATGTGTCTAAAAAGAAGGAGGAGGAGCTTATTTGATTAGTAGAACCAATTCAAAATGTCTCCCTTTTAAACTTTGCATCCCTCATATTTCTGGCAGTTATTTCACCAGATCTAATCAGAGTATTACTGACCCAGTTTCCCCCCTAACTAGACTGGGAGACACCCTCCCAGGGTAACAAGTCCCACCCATTGACTAAATCACCAGATACCGAAATAGATCCACTACACAGCAGCTGGTTGTCCCACCATCACTGCACCTGTCTCATCCTTTCTCAGGCACATAAATATGACCCAACATGTCAGCCCCACGTGATCAAAAACTACCTGCAAAGGAGCTTTTAAAACCGGTTTAACCACGAACATCAAAAGTTACATTCACTTTTTAGCACACATATTGTGGATCAAAATGGAGGCCATAAAATATTTTAATTAGGTCAGTGACATGTGGCTGATCGACCGCGTGCAAAGTGTTTATTGTGCGCCAATAGGAAGCCGGACAGTGGAGGCTGAGACCTAACACGCCCTGCGCGGCTCCAGCCACGAGGTTTAGCTCCAGCCGCGCGACGCCGCTCTTCATGCCTGCAGAGAAATCCGCCAAAACAAAAAGAAACTGAAATAAACTAACGTCGACCTATTTGTTCCTACACGTGCTCCCTCACGCACGTGCTGCTGCGATTATCGCAGCATATTTTACGCTAACGATTAATAAAGCAATCGATTAGAAATGAAACTCGGCGGTTGCAGCAACAGGTAGCTTAGAGTCGCTCGTTGGCAGAATAAGGGGTTAAATGAGGCACGCGAGTCAGGCTCTGTGATCCACCAGGCCCGCTGGGGGGGGGCAGCCTGCAGCCACCTGGGCCGCAAACTGTTTATCTCTGAGTAGCAGGAGCTAAACGAGCCGCCTGCCTCCATTCTGTTGGAATAAATGTCCTTCATGCTGATGCCATTCAACCAAAGCAGCTCGAAGCGGTTTAGTTGACCTCATGTCACCGAACCCGTTTATAACCGAATTAGCCTGTTAGCTTGCTGCTGTTTGACTATAAGAAACCCAAAACCTGGACTAAATGTTACCATCTTTCTTGAGTGGCACTGGAGCCTGAGTTTCCTCCTTTTTATCAGTCAGTGGGGCCTTCCTTTCTTTCTGGGACTCCTTCTTGGGCTGCTTGGCAGCCTGCGCTGCTGTCTTGGCGGCACCAGGAACCGCAGCCTCCTTCTTCTTCTTAACTTCGGCTTGCTTCAGCAGCTCGAACGGATCCGACTCGTCGTCAAATAACTGGTCGAACCGATTGGTTATGGCGCAGCCAAAACCTTCTTGCATTTGTCCGGGCATGATGGCGCCCCTTCAGCAGGATTTTCCTCCGATTCTACGAGGCTTGGTGCGAGCACTTCGCTAGATGAAGCCACAAGATGGCTGGGAAAGGACTTTCTTCTCTTCCGGCACGGTAGACATCCGGGGCCTCAGAGTTGGCGCGGGTGGGTTGTGTAGTTTCTGTGGAAACCCGTAGCCATGGTAGCAGTCGGCGTCTGGAGAAAATAAAAACTCGACTACCCACAATGCACCTGGTTTGTACCGCTTGCAAATAAAAGCATGGTCGCCCTGGTTTGCACTGTGTTGTTGTTTTGACTCTGAGGAAAGCTCTATTTAGTTGTCAGAAATGCTTTCCTCAGCACTTACAGAATTAAACTAACTTTTGAACAGCATTTTATTTTGTATCCTTGGCGAATAAAATAAAAGAAAGCTACTAATATTTGAGCTCAAACTGTTTAAGTAAAAGACAAGAAGTTAAGTCAGAATTTAACAGTTTCGACAGTCCACAAAATCTGTTGGTTTTTAAACCTTGCAACAAGTGAAAAACGTTCCATACTTGTCTCTGGCTGCACCATGGCTTTCATTAGTAGTTTTCAACAAGCTGACTGCAACAGTTTAATTTGGTAATTTCAGAGTCAACCATGAATTTGATGAGCATTTTCCTCAAATGTGTTTCTTTCAATTCAGCTTATTTTTATAGCGCCAATTCACAACACATGTCATCTCAAGGCACTTTACAGTTCACCAGATCATCCAGTCAGATTGATTCAGTTTTCTATCTAAGGAAAACCAGTTGATTGCATCGACTCATTGACTACAAGGCAATCCCTCACACTAAGCATGCTTATAGCGACAGTAGAGAGAAAAACTCCCTTTAAACAGGAAAGAAACCTCCAGCAGAACCAGGCTCAGTGTGAGCGGCCATCTGATTAGGCTGACTGGGGTTCAAAGAGACAGAAGCAGAGATACAAAAAGCAGCTGTAAAAGGCGGCCCCGTCCAGGAAACACACAGCCAGGCAGACGAGCTCCGAGCCAGCTCCCATGTCGGAGGATGAAGAGAGCACATCCAGCCAGTCACAGTCAGAGAAACAGGACTTCCCTGAAAAACAGGCCAAGCTCCAACACCTATAAACAAAGGTGATGATGGCAGCAGCACAGCTGATATTTCTCTCCAGGATGGAGTCACAGCCAATCAGGAAAAGACCAGATGAAGCTACTATGAGAAAAAGCAGAGAGAGCAGAACGTTAGAGATTGAAC